CCCCCCTAAATTATTAATTCATTCAATACAAAGACATTATACAGATAAACCATAGAAAATTCCTTTTGCATTTGAACTTGGACTTATTGGCAGTTGGCACCACATTCACACTGTTACACATACTATAAAAAAGGTCCTTAATGCACGATTTTGGACTTATTGGCATCTGCAAGGTATTTTCGTTTGGGTCTTTGGAATTGGGATTTTAGGTTTTAGCTTTCCACTTTACCTTCATTAATTTTTATATTTTTATATTAAAAAACAAACATAACCCACGAGCCAACCCGTTTGACCCGTAGGTTGGCTCGATTTTTTTCGAGCTGAAACGAGTTGGGCTGACTCGAGTTACTAACTGATTTTCCCTAACCCAACCCAGCTCATTTTAGCCGGGTTACGAGCCAACCCGATGGGTTGGCTCATTTTTGCCAAGCCTAATTTTCATGTTGTTTCTTATGTTCCTCTCCCACATAATACTTTATTTATTAAAATCAGTTAGTTGTTTCTTAAAAATAAAAGTGCAAATTTAAAAATTTAGCTTTATATCTTTCAAAATATTCTTTTTAATAAGACCACAAGATATTTCTACATTTATTAAGCGTAAAATTAATTCCAATTAAAACAAACTTACTTAATCATAAAGTGTATTCACCATGTTTCAAATACCTTCACTGGAAGCATAATATACCTATATTCAAAGCATAATATACCTATATTCAACTTACTTTACCAACTACACCAAACTCCATAGTTATATCACTCTCATTCTTAATGAATCTAATTAACTCTTCAATATTTTTATTTTGTTTAAAAGGATAGCAGCTATTAACACTTTACCAAACCCCATCACCATTAACCGTATTAACATTAATGTTGTCATGAAATGCATGGACAAATCACCATAACATGTAAACCCTACAAGTAACAACTGGTTGTGACAATATTTTTCTATTTCCCTCCTTACAACGCCTCGTACACGACCATGGGCCTCTAATCCAAGATAGCTTGACTCGCAGCAACGTTATTTTTTCGAAACATCTTGTGCCAATGTTTGAGTTGCCTAATCTAATCTAACAAAAGGTCGAAAATGCATACAACAACGCATACGGTCCACGTTAAGTAAAAAACCAGATAAAAAATGAATGTTTGATGTTCGTAGGACACATTTGCTTCTGCTCGATTTTTTTGCTATGCAGTACTAAGAAAAGAACTTAATCTAGAAAACATAGAAGGCTGATAGAGAATTTTTACTTTACTTCTAATTAACAGAGTTTTGTGCTAACTCGTGCTTACCGCAGTAAATTACTTCCACATGAATGTCAAGCTTTGAATGCAAAACAAGTGATGTTGTAAACTGCACGAAAATTGCGGTGGACTTCCAGGCCTGTTGATGTGTAAAAGTAGTTAGGGCCTTTATTGTAATTAGAAAGTTGGTTAGTTAGTTGAGGAAGTTAGTTAGTTGTGTATATATATATACATTGCTTGAAACAGAAAGGATCATCTTGAATAAAATCGTTCTTTGTTCTTCAATAAAAGTTCTTCTCTTATCAATTGGTGCTTTCACGGCTTCTCCATCACTTGTAACCATGAGGGTGCAAGAACTTGCAGAAGAGTTCGAGACTTTTAGGCTTTGCATGGAGCAACGCTTGGACATCAGGCACAGATTGCAACTTTCAACTCTCAGCTTCAGCAAATTCATGCTGCAGTGATGGGTTTGGAAACTCGTGTGCACGATTCAGGTTCGGACCGTAACCCTAACCACTCTTCTGAACCAGTTAATTCTTCTACTCATAATATTCGAATTGGTAACCATAATGGTGATCACAATGATTGTTGGACGTTTAGCAAGTGCACTAGTCGTACAAGTTTCCCTGATTGTTGTAGTTCCTTTGATTATTCTGATCATACCACACTCCATTCACCTCTGCTTGTTCTGATGATCCCCCATAATCACACTCCTCTGTCACATGGCCCTTACCACAGATAGCACATACACTCTTTGTTTCCACATAAGCTACCTTTTGTGAAGAGAGTTGCTTAATAAGGGTATCTAATTGTTGCTGTTGTTGTCTCTGTGTCTGCATCAGTTGATCATTCCTTGCCAACAAAGCATCATACCCATCCAACCTGATAATTCCTGTCCTTCTGTCAGCCACTGGAGCATTATCAAATTCTTGAGATGCTAATGACTCAAAGATATCCAAGGCTTCTTGAGGGGTCTTGGTAGTCAATGATCCACCAGCAGTGGCATGCACCAAGGTTCTAGTGTTAGTGGTCATTCCTTGCAGGAAGATTGCTGCTTGTTGCCATGCCTCAATTCCATGCTGTGGACATTTCCTCAACAAAGTCTTGAATCTCTCCCAAGCCTCATAAATAGATTCTGGCTCTTTCTGCTTAAAGCTTGTAATTTCATCCTTCAACTTGGCCCTCTTGGATGCTGAGAAAAACCTTTGCAAGAACTTGGTTTGCAAATCATCCCAAGTTGTTATACTTCCTTGTGGCAATGATTGCAGCCATCTCCTTGCATCATCCGTCAGTGAATGAATGAATAGTCTCAACAGAATTGCATCTCTTGTGACACCGTTTATCTTCACAGTATCACTTAACAATAGGAAGTTCTCTATGTGCAAGTAAGGGTCCTCCGCACTGGTTCCAGCAAACTGATCCTTCTGCACCAAATGTATCAAAGCAGGCTTCAATTCAAAGTTGTTGGGCTCCACTGTTGGGCGCACAACACTCCCAATTGGAGGAACCACTGCAGGAGTCATGTACTCTCCCAGTGTCCTCTGTGGTGGTGGTGGTCTGTGATTCTCTGCCATTATATCTTCCTGATTAACCGTACTTGATTCACCAATTTCTTGCAACTGTCTCCTTTGCCTGGCTGCCCTTTTGTGCTTCCTCAATGTCCTTTCTAATTCTGGATCATATAACAACAAATTTGGATCAAGTGTACCTCGCATGTACCAGAATCAAAATTGACCAGAAATTTAACATAAACTAAAATACTGAAAATAAAAGGATTCAATCTCAGAATTCTATAGTATCAGTTAGTGTTGAAAAACAAATTCCCCGGCAACGGCGCCAAAAACTTGTTGGACGTTTAGCAAATGCACTAGTCGTACAAGTAATAAAATGATGAAAAAGAAAAAATTGGCTCAGTTGAGGGTGAGGATGGTACTCGAACCCCCCAGGTTCCCTGGGCGGAATCAAAAGTCCTTCAGCACCCAATACCAAATAAGTGAATTGGGTGTGGGAAGACCTCAAATGAGTTTAAGAGCATGTATATGTAGGATTTGGATATAGAGTGGGATAATTAACATTAATATGATTTTTTAATACACTATACCATTGAATTGCTTATTGCAAATTTATTTTTTTTACGACCGTAATTTATAGGTTTTAACGTTCTTACAGAGAATGTAGATAAATTATTTATATTCACTTTTAAAACGATGTTGTTTTGGATTGAAAAATTAAAAAATTATAATAAGAAATACTATTATAATCCTGAAATAAATTATAATTACAAAAATATTTTGATTTCCGCCAAAAAAAAAATAAATAACGTGAGCTCAATGTAAACGAACCCTAATTTATATTATACAAAGTATCATTCCAAGCATTGATAATTGATTGCTTCAACTCTTATCTTAGAAAAGATAAAAGAAAATCTACAAAAGAGATAGACGAGCTATTTTAAAAAGTGAGGAATTTCAAAAGTTTTGATTATTTATTATTTTTTTGTTGTCAATTTTTTTCCAGACTTATTGGCTATTCCTGTATAAGTTATATTTTTTAAATGTAAAACCATCCTTAAAACTTTCACCTTTGAGTTTTATAATTGAATCTAAGCATTTGGTGTTTATAAATGGTATCATTTATAAATATCTGTACGTATAATTATAGTTATTATAATAGTAATTCATTAAAAGAATGAGTTGTAGGTTATAAGCAGTGTTTTAAAACTCCGCCTCACTTCCCGGGTTGACCCCGGGTCAACCCTGACCCCTCCCCTTTGAGGGTTGTGGTCACAAGTTAGACCCTGTATGCATATCGACCCCTCCGACCCCCAAAACCCAGCCGGGTTTCACTGACTCTCGGGTCAGAGGGGTCAAAAGGGGTCATTTCATGTTTTTTTTTTTAAAAAAAAAATTCATGAAACAACATTGTTTTATTAAAAAAATAAATAAAAATGCTTGCAAACCTAAATCTAATTGTTCTCTTCTCTCCTAGTGACCTAAATGTTTTCAATCTTCACCTCACTGCCGTGAATCTTCTAGAAAAGGTAAGAATTTTATCCCTTCAAATGAAATCTTTACGGTTGTCGATGGAAAACAAAAACTCATTCTTACTTCCTTTAAATTTTTCTTTGTCAGAGACCTTCTCAAAAGAGGCAGAACCGGGTCAGTGTAGTGACCCCATTAGAATATGAGTTTTGTACTTTGGTATCTTGATACTTTAATTAGGTTGTATAATATTGACTTGTGGTTGTAATTGGTGAATTATGTTAAGTATATTTTGAATCTTTGATGATTGGTGATTTGTTTTTTAATATTTTCATATAGGATATATCTATTTATATTTTTTTAATGGGAAAAGTGTGTATCATTTTAAAGGATGTAAAGTTGTGTCATTTTAAGTTAGAGAAAGAGATAAATAAAGAAGGAGAGATAGTGGACAGAAAAATATAAAAGTGTGGGTTCCTTTCACCTAGAGTGAAAGGATATAAGTTGTGTCATTTAAAATTACAAACACTTTTCTTTTTTTTTAACATATAAAACCGGGTCAGCATAGTGACCCTCTGACTTTCCGATTAAACCCGTGACACCTGACCTCAACCGGGTGAATGGTCGAGACTGATTTTTAAACACTGGTTATAAGAATCGGTTGGGTGTGAATAAATTTGACTTAGAAAGGGAAAAAAGGATATTTCAAATTCCACACCAACCAAATACCAATAATAATAATAATAATAATTAATTTTTTATCCAAACTCCAAAGGCAGCAACCACATCCAAACCAAAAACCTGCGACGGGAGCCTAGACTGTATAGTGTTCCATTTCAAGCTTACGTTCATGTGTGTCGTGGTGGTGTTCATGCCTTTCTTGTTCCACTGAAACGCAACGCTTCGCTTCCTTTAAACGACACTCGTTTTGTTCTGTTCTGTTCTGTTCTGTTCTCTGGTGGAATGGGGACTCTGACGAGTTGCAGTTTCATGCCTCTGAACTCGGAGTTCCGGTCCAACCCGGTTCGACGCGCCTTCAGGGAGAGGATTCAGTGCCACGAGCTCAATCGATTGAGGGGAAGGTCTTGTTTCTTCACACACACGCATTTATCGAAATGGGGGAAGTGCAAGCATATCAATTTTGATAGGTTTAGGTGTTTTGCTAGTAACAACAATAACAAGGACGTTGTTGATGGTGAAGGTGAAAGTGTTAATAATGATTCTAAATCCAACATAACCACAGCGATTCCTGAGGAAGAGAGAGGGTTCAATTCGGAAAAATCAACGCCTCCCTCCACTTCTCATAGGGTACATGATTTTTTTTGTGTTATTTTGTTAATGGTTTGGAATGATCCACTTTCATGCTATTAATTTCTTGAGATAACCTAATTTAAAGCTGGGAAATGACGTGTTTATAAACTTTTTTTTATAAATTATATTAAGTATGACTGGTTATACACTCTTAATTGAAATATGATGATCGGTCATACTTAGTGTAATTTGTAAGAGTTTGTAAATATAATATTTCCTTTAAAGCTAGCTAGTATTTTATTATGTTTATGTAGCTTCAATTGTCTTCAGTGTAGAATTATGTAACTCCCAAAGTTAGTTTACAAGCTGACTTTATTTTTGTTTTGCAAAGTTAGCCAATTATGCTAGTGGTTTTTTTTTTTTTTTTGTAAGCTAACTTTTAATGATGCATATGTGTGGAAAACCCTCTAACAAATGTGTTCTGTTGCATTTTATGGATTTGAATTGTCTGTTGTGACTCCTGATTCTCATGTTTCTATCATTTTACTTCTTCAGTCATCTTTGTCCTCACTTGGATCTGCATACAACAATTTTGAAGTTGATTCTTTCAAACTTATGGAGCTCCTTGGACCTGAGAAGGTTGATCCTACCGATGTAAAGCTAATTAAGGATAAGCTTTTTGGTTATTCGACCTTCTGGGTGACCAAAGAGGAGCCTTTTGGAGACCTGGGAGAAGGCATTCTTTTCATTGGAAATTTGAGGGGAAAGAGAGAGGATGTTTTTTCCAAACTCCAAAATCAGCTAGTTGAGGTCACAGGTGATAAGTACAACCTTTTTATGGTGGAAGAACCCAATTCAGACAGTCCTGATCCACGTGGTGGGCCACGTGTTAGCTTTGGTTTGCTGCGGAAGGAGGTTTCTGAGCCAGGGCCAACAACACTTTGGCAATATGTCATTGCGTTGTTATTGTTTCTCCTAACTATTGGTTCCTCAGTGGAGCTAGGAATTGCATCTCAGGTAGGCTGGGTATTGATTCTCTTTGATGCAAATAATGACATTTAGAAAGACTTTAGAAACATTGTTGTTATTGATACTCTTTGAACATCAGGTGGTGATTGGTAAATATTTGTGAACAACAGTGTTTCTTAAGCCTATGTCTTTAATTGCATCAATGTCTTGCCATCTTCTGTCATTTCTAGATATTTTGTTAATGCCATACTTTTGATTAATCAGATCAACAGACTTCCCCCAGAAGTTGTGAAATACTTCACGGATCCTGATGCTGTTGAAGCCCCAGATATGGAGCTGCTATTTCCATTTGTCGAGTCGGCTTTGCCTTTAGCATATGGTGTCTTGGGGGTTCTTCTGTTTCATGTAAGCATTCATTCTTACCGTTATTTTCCAGCATATGTTTATATAATTGCAATTCACAGAAATTTATTTATTTATTTTTCAGTATTACAACAAATCGGAGCGTGTTTTATTCAGAATATAGTTTGGGACTCTGGTTTTTTGCTTTTATTAGACTTGCGTTTTCATTATAGAAATGTGGGATCTGAATGATTCAAATAAACTTACTAATTTTTACTATTGGCTTCATCAAGTAAACTTTACATTGGTGTGAATATGTGCATAGGTGCTGTGATTAAGAGGATGCCTATGATGATTAAATACAAACAAGTTATGTTTTATTTTCTTGTGGGTAGTCAATAACTGATAGTGGATATTACTCTGATGACTTGGACTGATACTTTGTTTTAACAGTTCCGCATGTGTTACATTTGTAATCATTGTAATTGTGGTAAATAATTTTGCTACTATAATCAGGTATTGCTAGCTGTTGATTGAGCCTTAAATTAGAAAATTGATTATTTAGTTTAGCCTATATCGTATAATGTAGTGTATAGTTTTTGAGTTTTGAGTTTTATTCTCTCCTTTTCTCCTGCTTTACTGTAACCCTTTAATTTCAACAATACAATAATGCAATCTGTTGTAAGGATCTATCAATCAATCCAGTATTCTTGTAAATATCTTGATTGACTCACTATTGGCCATGTATGATAGTAGTCAAAGATTTCAGTTAGTCTGTGAATTCAGATAATCCACTTTTATACATATAGTTATTACTCTCAAATGCTGTAAAAGTAGAAATAACTGCATGTGTTCTGTGTCTCAGGTCACTTATTTATTTGTTTAGTTTTTTATGCCAAATGGCCCAAAACATTACTTCTATCTTATTTGTTTAATTTTTTCTTTACACATTTGTACAGAATTTCATTAATTGTTATGCTTCTAGATTCTTTGTATGTATTCTACCTGATGGATATGGCTATGTGCAGGAGGTTGGGCACTTTCTAGCAGCATTTCCTAAGCAAGTAAAATTAAGCATTCCTTTCTTCATTCCTAACATCACACTTGGCAGCTTTGGTGCTATTACTCAGGTGAGATTATCTAATTTTTCCAGCCAGTCACTTTTACATTGAATACTGTCTCAAGCTATTGCAATCACATGCTTATAATATTCTGGGTTTTATTTGCCCAATCTTTTGCAGAGATTTGCAAGTATGTTATTTATGATGGAACATGTAAATACAATGCGTCCATTTACTGTCCAAATAGAGCCATATGCATTCAGCAGTATGTTTTAACTGTCTATTTATTGCTACTAAATATGATAAATGCAATAATATGTCAGTTAGTCAGTTAGACTAAATTTCATTTAAGTTTTAGTATGCATCCAAATGTTGATCCATGGTTGTTTATTGTAGTTTAAATCCATCCTTCCTGATAGAAGTACAAAAGTGGACATATCACTTGCGGGACCCTTTGCTGGTGCTGTCTTATCATTTTCGATGTTTGCTGTTGGTCTTCTTCTCTCATCTAATCCTGATGCGACTGGAGATTTGGTTCAAGTTCCTAGCTTGTTATTTCAAGGTTCCTTGCTTCTTGGATTAATCAGTAGAGCAACTCTTGGTTTTGCGTATGTCTCCTTCCTTCCATGGTTTTTTATGGATTAAGAATATAATTAGTTAAATGTAGGACCAGTGCTTGTGAATTTCTTTCATTAAATTAGTTAATATACACTAATGGATCATTATGCTTGGGGTATTTTCCAAAGCAAGCTGTATCTAAGTGTTATAACTTGATTGCAGCCCATTGTTTTAGTACGTAAATTAGAATTGATATTTATGCATGCTTTTTATTCTGACCATAGTTAACACTGATACATTGTTATTGTCAATGTACAGAGCAATGCATGCTGCAACAGTTGCCATTCACCCTCTCGTGATTGCAGGCTGGTATTCAGCTTTTCCACCTGTAACCCAGTTCACTTTCATTTATAAGTCAAATAAATTCCCAAAATTTGTTGTTCCAAATACACTTTTAATCATTCGTTATTCCATAATATGCAGACGTTGTTGTATTTCATGATTTTGCAGGTGTGGCTTAACCATACAAGCTTTTAACATGCTTCCAGTGGGGTGCCTTGATGGTGGAAGAGCAGTGCAGGTATCTTCACCTTTTGGGCTTTGTGAAAACTACATTACTTTTGGTAGACTACACATTTACCTGGCATTGAAAGGCTTGTTCTATTGTCATATTTTTGTAACTTGATTGGGACAATGTTTGAGTCGAAAGAATAACATTGTTTGTCCACTTTCAAATTTAAACTAAAAACTTATCTTCGTCTCAGCTTTTATTAGTTACATTTACAGGATAAATCAACACAAATACAATGGTTATTTAGGATATTAGCTTCAATCAAGGATAAAACTCTTTCTAATATCCCCATTTCTTATTGTCATCTTCACAATGTATAGATATATGACCAAAAACATATATATGTGTGAGTGTCGCACACACAGATAAATACATAATAGACTGATGGAACCCAGAAAAATACAGCACTGATCTCATTAACAATGGAGGCATAGCCTCTTTTTACATACACTAACACAATATAAAATGCAGAAAATATACCGGAAAAGCCTCAACTCCCCCTCAAACCAAATACCTAGGCTCAAGAGTTCCCTAGAGGTTTCCCATTTTCCCACTAACCAATTCTGAATACATGCATGCCTCACTACACACACTCACTCACCTTTTATCCTCCTTACTAGAATATTCTAGAATAATTTCCCTAACAAACTAGCTAATTCATTAACTAACTATGGCCTCCTTTGCATTGCTGAATTTGGGCCCACTAGTCATAGCCCATCATAGACACACACATATATACAAAGTTATATGTATATACACGTGTGTGTGTATATCTCCTCCATTTGTAGTCGGAAAAAGAAAACACAAAATAATAAAATCAACAATTCCTAACAATACTATAAATTATCTAAAGAAATACCAAAAGGAAACTACAATGGGCTATTTTCCACTAAGAAGCAAGTTTTTTTTTTAAGTGCTTTTAATCTAATGTATGCATTTACTTGAAAAGGAAAAGTTGGAAAAATATTATTGCTTACTCAGGAGTACATGTACAAAGGGGTACAATATATAGAGAGAACTAATGGGTTTAAAGTAATAAATCCAAATCCTAAAAATAAGGAAACACTAATCTAGCTAATAAAGAAACAAATAATTACTGATATTTTCCATATTTACAACATTCCCTTTCAAGCTTAGAAATGGATATTTATCACTCCAAGCTTGCTAGTAAATTCTTGAAATCTGTTAGTGAGAAGTCTCTTGGTCAAGACATCAACTAGTTGACGACCAGAAAGAATATAAGAGGTAGTGATCAATCTGCTATCTAATTTCCCTTTGATGAAGTGGTGGTTGATCTCAATATGTTTTGTTGGTCGTGTTAGATAGGATTGTGCGCTATACAGATGATTGACTTATTATTACATAGTAACTTTGTACTCAACTTTACCTTTTACATATTGGCAAAGAGGTTGTTTCCTATATTCAAATTCGTGACCTTTCAGTCGCACTAGAGTAGTTTTACCATTGCTTCAGGCCCCTATTATATATATAATTAACAAAAAAATTCTTTTGCAAATTAATTGCAAAGCTTCCAAAGAGTATAGGGAAAGACGTGAAAAACTGTTTCTAAAGAAATTTTTACAAAACAACTGTTTGTTATCAGGTTTTGAATTTGACATTCTGGGTTCATTAAGGGAGAGAATTATTCATTCCTTGATTTTTAAATAGATAAATTTTTTAGGGATTCAAGAATATCTTTGATGTGGCCTTCTGCCACGTCAAAGCCTCCTTCTAAAGCAATATCATTAGAGGACCTTGCCACTTCTTTCTCAAAACAGCAGCAAAGCCTTCTACCTCTCAAACCTCTGCAGAACCTGTAATTAATGCCCCAATGAAATCTACCATAAATACACCTAAAACTTCCAACAAATTTACCTTGGAAAAATTCTGGCAACTACCACTGAAAAACCTCTTGATTACCATACCAAAGAGGGATGTAGAAAATTTACCGTTGAATTTGAATTTTCAGAATTAACCCCTCACCAGTTAATTACCAAACTGGCAAAGGATGGGGTCTGATTCCAAAAGATCAACCTCTTGGGAAAAAATATGATGTTTTATCAGCTCATATGTTTGGGAACGGAAATGAGGAGAGACAGGAAATAAGAGGAAAACTCATTTTTTGATTTCCTATCATAGGCATAATGAACAGTGAAGATAAAGCCAAAGTGAGGCTTCGACTAATCCTTGGTGCCTCAATGTCATGACTTTTTACCAACACATTGGAGTGTTGTAAATATTTTAAAATATATTTGTAGGTCTAACAACTGTGAATGACAACTTGGGTTGGCCATTTTGGTTGAGTACTTAGGGTATCTAAAGTGGTTTAGGAACCACCGAGTTGATTATTGATAGGTAACCATTTCAGGGATAACAGTGGGATGTTTGACAGAAATCAGGTAATAAGAGACCAAATTATGTGTATTCCTTTCTTGGGGTTGATACTGAAGATTAAAGGTAAGGACATTGTTATGACCCCGGTTCTCTCATACAGACCCACACCCACTCCAATAACAGCAAAATTACTGAACACAAACAATGGTTCGAATGAGAAACAGATCTTGTATTACTGATATATTCCTCAACAGTACAGAGAATTAAGGCAAATCAACAGTACAAGGAATCAACAACTGATGAGGAATTGCAAATAGAACAATAATGACAGGAAATTACAACGAAACACAGAAAGGAAAATGATAATATAGAGCAATTAGAGAGGCTTTAATCTCTCTCAAGTCCCATGACCCTATTCACACTCCGGATGCCCTTCACTATTCCCCTTCCTTACTACTGAATCTCGTCAACCTCACTTCCCACCCCATTCAATCTGTTAGAACCAGTTGTAACTGCCGTGCTGAGTCAGCAGCTGGGGCCACAACAGCTAGGGCCCAAGTCTTTCTCCTTTTTCCCTTTTGTAAGCCTTCATGGGCTGGATCTCATCATTCTCCCACTTCAGATTGTAATGAAAGTTGGGACATGTTTGTAATGGGAAAAGTTTGAAGTGAGGAACTGGAATGACAACTTGGTCAAATATTTTGTGCAAGGATCCAGGTACCCCATTTTTCAGTACTTGACCAATAACTCAAGGCACTATTAGGGTAGTTTAATATCGAAGGTAAAGGAAAGTCTCCAGAGAGTAAAAGCCTGTAATATAATATGCATGCCATGACTCCATGTTAATTAATGGTGATTGATGACTTTTTCATACTTTTGGTATACACTTCTCTTTCTTGTGTCCCCAGGTTTCGCATATGGTCAAAATTCAAACTAGCTTTCATTCATGTTTCATTTGTATTTTTTATTAATTATGATAGTGATAACATATTAAAGGTGTATTGAGCTTAGGTATAAATTTACAACCTTGGACATGGACAGAAATATAGTTTTTTATTGGAAGATGTGAATTTATTGAATGACTTCCTTAGTATATTGTAGAATTCACGGCAGAGAATAATTACGTTAAAAAAGAGAGGCACAGAGGGAGGAGGGAAAAATATTTATCCTTTTAAAGGACAGTTATTTTAGTTAAAACTATTATTTTTTATTTAATATTTAAATTAGAAAAAAAAACTTCCACTTTCTCCCGCCATGATTTCTGTTTTTCTCATTATAAAACACAGTAATTTTGACTAAAATGACACAATTTTATATTCTTTAAAATGACAAATACTATTCCCTTTAAATTATCCTAAATGATAGGATGAGTATTATAATTTGGTCCATTGTGATATGAAAAAAATTGCTAATTTTGTTACTTGTTTTTGCAGGGTGCTTTTGGAAAAAGTGCACTAATTGGCTCTGGTTTGACTACTTATACATTGCTTGGTTTAGGAGTGGTATGTCAGATCTTTGCTTAGATTTAACAAAGCATACATATAGTTATTCAATAACATTGTTAATGACAAAATTCAACCATTTGGTTGCATGGATTTAGCATGACTAACGGTGTTGTGGGCTGTGGCGGTAGCTCCTGTAACTTTTACCAGTCTTTTGCGGGGGAGAGTTCTCGATTTATTGCTCATGTTCATCATCATGAACTGTATTATGTTCTCGATTCACCGTGTTTTGTTGTCACCCTCCTTATTGCTTAGTCCTTTTCTTGATTTAATAATATAATAATTTGTTACTTGTTTTCGGTATTCATTAAAAAATAAATTGAATTTTGTTTTTTCTTTTTCTTCTTCTTTCAACAGCTTGGTGGACCACTTTCACTTCCTTGGGGACTTTATGTTCTGTTATGTCAGGTATGTCTTGAATTTGATAAGAAATATTACGCTTATGCACCATCGGAAGACATTCAAGGAAGAGAAGGAAAAGAAACTAAAAAAACTATTATTGATACTGATCTATATGTCTTTTATACCTGTCTACAGTAACTATATAGGACAAAAAATAAAAGGGTAACTAAAACTGAACTGAATTAGTTACAACCAAACTAAAACTAAACTGAATTAGTTACAAGGTAATTAATAATTAAATATAAAACTCCCCCTCAAGATGGAGTGTGTATATCAAATACAGCCATCTTGGACAGTAGAGGAAACCAAGATGAAGATGGTAATGGCTTGGTGAAAAGATCAGCCAACTGGTGTTGAGATCTAACAGGCATCAACTTAATTAGACCAAGAGATACTTGATCACGAACAAAATGGCAGTCTATTTCAATGTGCTTGGTTCGTTCGTGGAAAGTTGGATTAGAAGCAATGTGAACTGCAGCTTCATTGTCACAAAACATCAAAGCTGGAGAAGAGCTGTTAACACCAAGATCCTGCAAAAGTTGTGATAACCATGTCAATTCTGCTGCAGTAGCAGCCATTGCTCTGTATTCGGCTTCAGCGGAAGATCGAGAAATGGTGGTTTGCTTCTTGGATTTCCAAGATATTAATGAATCCCCAAGAAATACACAAAATCCAGTGACAGATTTTCTTGAATCTGAACATGAAGCCCAATCTGCATCAGTAAATGCTTTGAGTTGTAATGCAGAAGATGAGGGAAACAAAAGTCCCTGCCCAGGTCTGTTTTTGAGATATCTAAGCAAGTGGTGAGCTGCCTGCAAGTGAGGTGTTCTTGGGTGAGAGACAAATTGACTTAATTTGTGAACAGCAAAGGTAATATCTGGTCTAGTGAGTGTTAAGTACAACAATCTCCCAATCAGCCTGCGAAATTGTGAAGGATCAGATAACAGATCACCATCAATGCTATTAAGTTGAGACTTATGCTCCATGGGTACAGCAACTGGTTTTGAAGCAAGAAAACCAGTATCTTCTAATAATTGGAGAGTGTATTGTCTTTGAGACAGCACAATACCTTTGTGGCTCCTAGCAATTTCCAATCCTAAGAAGTATTTCAAGGTACCTAAGTTTTTAAGCTTGAATTGTGAATGCAGAAACTGTTTCAAAGCTTCAATTATTTCAGAAGAAGGACCTGTAAGAATAATGTCATCCACATATACTAGGATGGCAACAAAGGATGAACCAATACCTTTTGTGAAAAGAGAATAATCTGACTTGGACTGCCGAAAGCCATGTCTTAAGAGAGCAGCACTAAACTTAGAATGCCACTGTCTTGATGCTTGTTTAAGGCCATAAAGAGCCTTATGTAAACGACATACAGGTCTGCCACTATGATTAAGATGCTCCCCCTGAATTTTATAACCAAGAGGTAGATCCATGTAAACTTCTTCAAAGAGATCTCCATTTAAAAAAGCGTTATTCACATCCAATTGATGAAGAATCCAGCCTTGACAAGATGCTACAGCAAGTAAGGTTTTGACCGTTACCAATTTTGCAACCGGTGAAAAAGTATCAATGAAATCCACTCCCTCTTGTTGAGTATAGCCCTTAGCTACCAAGCGGGCTTTGTGTCTCTCAATTGAACCATCAGACTTGAACTTATTTTTGTAAATCCAACGACAACCGACTGTGTGTTTTCCAGTAGGTAAAGGAACAATGGACCATGTGTTGTTAGCTTCCATAGCTTGCAACTCAGCTTTCATGGCTTCACGCCATTCAGGGAATTTAACTGCTTGATGGTAAAACTGAGGCTCATAATGTGAAGAAACATTAAGAATAAAATTTTTGTGTGCAGGAGATAGTTTTTCATATGAAATTACTGAAGATAGAGGGTAAAGAGTGGATGTACTAAGAGTGTTGGAGTGATGGAGAAGATTGCAATGATATTCTTGAAGATATTTTGGGCATCTGGATACACGAGAGGATCGCCTTGGAACTGATAAAACCATTGTATCATTGGCTGGTTCAGGCTGTTGATCTGGAACATTAGTATCCTCAGATTCTGGTTCTTGAAGGACAGGAGATTGTGGAGGAGAGACAGCATCTGATTCTGGACATGGAGAAGATATAACAATATTTGGTAGTGCCAAATCCGGAAATGGATCCATAGGAATGTGTTGAGAAGATACACCATGATAAGGAAATATTCTCTCATGAAATATCACATCACGGGATATTAAAATTTGTTGAGTGACTATGTCAAGAAGCTTGTAACCTTTCATACCTGGGGGATAGCCTAGAAAAACACAACTGCGAGCCCTTGGATGAAATTTGCTTCGTTGTGCAGCCAAAGTTGAAGCAAACACCAAACAGCCAAACACTCTTATGTGTGAATAATCAAACTCCTTTTGATATAATAGATCATAAGGAGATTTATGTCCAAGCATAGAAGAAACAGTCCTGTTGATTAAAAAAACAGCAGTCAAAATGCAATCTGTCCAAAAACGAATGGGTACCCGTGATTGAAAAAATAAGGCTCTTGCAACATTTAAGATATGTTGGTGTTTCCGTTCAACCACAGAGTTTTGTTGAGGAGTCTCTACACAAGAGAATTGATGAAGAACTCCTTGCTGACTGAAATACTCATCAAACTTCAACTCCTTTGCATTGTCAGATCGAAAGGACTTGATTTTCCTGCCAAACTGAGTAAAAATCATGCTAAAAAACTTGGGAATTATGGTTGGGACCTCAGATTTATATTTCAGCAAATAGACCCAAGTAAAACGGGTGCAGTCATCCACCAAGGTTACAAAGAACCGATGACCGGTGTAAGAAATTGTGTGGTATGGACCCCAGATATCACAGTGTATTAATTCAAAAGGTGAATCAGAAATCTTGTTGTGAGAAATAAAAGGAAGTCTACGTTGTTTAGCTAATGGACAGATATAACATGGAACTTTATTATTGGTATGTAAATCTGAACAACCAATCTTGTCTTTCATATGATTCAAACAATCACTGGACAAATGTCCTAATCTATGATGCCAAGTATCACTAGATACAGTATTAACAATGGCAGAATGAGACATCTGTGTATTATTTGTAGTATGCAGTACGTAGAGTCCTTCCAACTTTTCACCCCTACCAATTATCTTCTTGTTGTCGATCTGCTGAATTGTGAAATTATCAGGTAAAAAATTGAGCATGAGCTGAGAATTACTAGTAAGAGCACTGACAGAGAGCAAATTAAATCTGAATTGCGGGACATAAAGGACATCTGTGACCAATAAGTGTGGAGTAAGCTGAATATCTCCAATGTGATGTACAGGTATTGAAACATGATTTGGCAATGTGACAGTAGAGCCATGGATTGGTCGTAAAGAGAGAAAATTCTGAGCATGATTGCATATATGTCTAGATGCACCAGAGTCCACTATCCATACAGTAGGTGAAGAAAACACAGGATTGAACAAAACTGATGAACAAATACCTGTGTGTGAAACATGAGAAGAGCTGCTATCAGTGGACGAATATGCTTTGGAAGCCACATGACCAGATAGCAAAGTTAAGAGCTGATTGCACTTATTTGGGTCCAAATCCTGCAAAAAGTTGGTGACAGCATCTGTAGAAAGAGCAGGAGAGGAATTCACACTTTGTTGTACAGACACTTGATTTGCAAGAGTCATATTTGTCTTCATAGCATTAGGTTTTTGTTTATGCTTAAAGCCTGGAGGATACCCATGCAATTTATAACACTTTTCAACAGTATGTCCATGGTACTGACAATGAGTACAGAATGGGCGATCTTTGCGAGTTCCTTTGGCAGAGGCATCATTTTTAACAGCAAAAGCTAATGTGCTTGCCGATTCAGTGCTGGAACTGGAGTGATCAGCTATGTAGCGTTGCCTTTCCTCTTGAACCACAAATGATAAGACCTTATTGATGGGAGGGAGGGGGTCAGAAAGAAGCAGTTGACCACGAATTTGAGAGAAAGATTCATTCAACCCCATCAAAAAGGCCATGATATATTCCATTTGATAGTATGCTTCCAGTTTGCGGACACCACCACAAGTGCATGTGCCACAGGTGCAAGACGGACGAAAGCTGTTGAGTTCTTCCCATAACGACTTCAGCTTTGTAAAATAAACACTGACAGAGCTTTGATCTTGAGACAAATTGATCAAATCTCTGCGCAATTGAAAGATTCTAGGACCATTGCTTTGTTGGAAACGATCTTTAAGATCATTCCATATTTGAGATGCAGATTCAGAGTAAAGAATACTCGCAGAAATCTCTTTCGAAACAGAGTTTAAAATCCAAGAAATGACTATGTCATTATTACGTTTCCAAGAACGAAAAAGAGAGAGATCCGTACCAGTAGGTTTCTGAATAGATCCATCGACAAACCCTAGCTTGTTCTTGACCGATAGGGCGATGAGCATTGATCTACTCCAAGAGGCATAGTTATCTCCTGAAAGTGGTTGCGAAACAAGAACCAAGCCCGGATTGTCAGAATGGTGAAGAAAGTAAGGGCTTGAAGGATCATCAATCTCGGTTCTGACATTTGAGGATGCCATGCTTGAGGTTGGAGAAGGAAGATTCAGGTTAGGACTCTGGAACCTGAACCAAAAACCAACCGATTGAGAGGAAATCAGAGTCACGAAGAGAAAGCGAAGCGACAATTGCCTTCTGATACCATATTACGCTTATGCACCATCGGAAGACATTCAAGGAAGAGAAGGAAAAGAAACTAAAAAAACTATTATTGATACTGATCTATATGTCTTTTATACCTGTCTACAGTAACTATATAGGACAAAAAATAAAAGGGTAACTAAAACTGAACTGAATTAGTTACAACCAAACTAAAACTAAACTGAATTAGTTACAAGGTAATTAATAATTAAATATAAAAAGAAATGATGAAACTGAAGTAGTTGTTTTTGTAAGTATTTATGAAGAACTAATGTTTTTTCAGAGGACACCGGAGAAACCATGCTTAAATGATGTGACAGAGGTTGGAACATGGAGAAAGACATTTGTGGCTGTTGCTACTTTTCTTGTTGTCTTGACTCTACTACCTGTGTGGGATGAGCTAGCAGAGGAGCTGGGTATAGGTCTTGTAAATGCATTTTGATGGTTATGTGTAGACTAAAGCCATATTTGAAATTGAGCAGTGAAATATATAGGTTAATTCATTACCAAAGCAAAGCCAAATTCAATTCTATACGAGGTTTACCCCTCGTTTACTTGGCAAAAAATGTTAAAAATCGAATTTTACCAGTTGCTTCCTCAAAAAAAAAACGGTCTATTCCTGTTAGGAAAATTGTAGATTGCAGGGTCATGTTATGATGAGTAGTTATTTCCCTTTATTTAGTTGGTGAAAAATTTACTTTTTTTTAAAAATAAATGAAAGACACATTTGCAATCCCTTAACAAGTGACCTGTTGCGAAGGTAATAGTGGAATTGAAAAAGATCTATTTCATTTACTCGTTTCTCATTTCAGATCTCGGCGACAAGCTTTTATGGGCTAAATTCATACAATAAAATAACAGAAAAATATTTCTGCCGTTATTGCAGATAAGTTATCTGAATTTGTTCTCGAAATGATGTCGTTTTGGGATTAGAATATTAAAAAATTATAATTATAAAGACTATAATAATTTTAAAATAAATTAAAATTATAAAAATATCATTATTTTTGTTCTAAAATAATATCGTATTGGACTTATTGTAAATAACTTATTTGCAGTAATTACAAAAATTTAGCAAGAAAAGCGAACCCATAAAATAAGGAGTAAATTGAATACTCGGCAAGGAAAGAGAGTAAATCCTGGAAACATGATACGTTGCAATTGGAACAGCAAATATCGACGTCAACTTTTGCAATTGCGTGGTTGTAACTGTGCAGCACCCACAGTGTAAGACACAAATAAAAAGCTGTGTCAATTTTTGCAGGCTTGGTTAATCATCCTCACAATCACTGTCTCAATCTCACCCAAATTATTATATATCCAACGGATGATGCAGTTGAAAGGTTCACCAATGCTCCACAAAATTACCCATTAGCACACCATGCTATTTATGCTAACTACCGTTCAACCTCAATAGTTCGGACTCATTGACCAAAAGGGTGTAAATAGTTTTTTAAGAATATTGGAAATTTATTAAAGTAGGGTGGTTTTTCACACGTGGACATGAACAATTGTGCAGCACACCATTTTATGTGGCTATATAGAAAAAACGGTCGTTGCATGACTAACACTTCAAAGATACTAATTCATGTGATATGTGGTTCAAAGATGATTATTTGTTTTGCAGCGGGTGATTCCTTAACGGGCCATGCAAATTTGCAAAATACCAGTAAATTTTGAATATTCGTTTTGTACTGGGGGCTCAGTGCTACATTTGCTATAATTAGAACTTTATAACTCACCTAAATACATTACATCACCCACTTCTTCATATTTATTTTTTAACCGTCAAGTGATTCTAATTTTATTATGAAAGTATGCACTGTATGTTCCCAAAAAAAAAAAAAGAGAGTATGCACTATGAACTATAGGAGTATTGAGAATTCACTCGCAAAAGCTATATCTTTCACAAAAGTTTAACAAAACCGCTTTGGTTACTTGATAAACAAACATAAAATATGTTAAACAATGAATAATTTTTCTCTCTTTTTCGATAAAAACGATGAAATCCAAAGAACGTGATATATAATTGCATTGCCAAAAGGGTGTCCACATAAAATATAGAGTCGAGAGCTTGGAAAGCCTTTTTCTCTTCTTTTTTTTCAATGCATGTGTAATTAGGATGGCAATGATTAATTGAGGAGGATCACCGGTGTCAAACTTTAAATTTTGACACCAAATATCAACTGTTATCATCTATTTAAAAATTAATAACTAATTAATAAGTTTGATTATCAATAAATGATAATCATTGATTAGCGAAAATTAACGATTATGATTTAGTGTCAAATTTTAAAGTTTGACATGGAAGCATCCTCTCTTGATTAATTGAATTACAATAGTGAAAAATGAAAGTAAAGAGATACGGAGAAGGAGAAATGTTTGAAAGTTGATAGTAGCGGAGCAATTATTGCTGAGAATTACAATGCATAATTAATGGTGAATAATACTTTAATATATAATAATGATAGAGCAATAAATGGAGAGAAAGAGAGGGAAGAGAATTGCATGGTTTATCACACATGGTTAGTTATTAGAAGATGTTAGTGTACGTGGCGTTCCCAATAGCTAGCCATGCTGCAGTCATTAACTTTTGTTTTTAGAGTGATGCCATTTTATATTGCATAGATGGGTGTAAGGCTATTTAATTATACTAATTTTTTTAACCCCTTTAGTCATCACAAAGTTCACCCGTTTGGTCATCATAAAGGTTAGTGATTTTTTTTCCTATTTACAATCTATTATGATTATAGAGGTATATACAAACTATTTGAATAGTGTAAATAAAGTGATATTTCCTATGCTTGTGATATATAGCCTTCATTTGGAACACTGCCTTCATAAGACACTTAGAAATATAGCTCTTTTGGGGTTGTCAAAGGGGTTTGTGGTATTTGTTACCTCTGTTTTTTGTTTGTACAACAATGTGCTAGTGTCAGTTCACTACTGGTACTTTATCTCCAATTGAAACTAGACTTATAACTGGACCTTTGAGGTTGCACTTGATGCTTCGTTGGAATGCTTGTTTATGTTCATTAACAACTTCACTTTACGATTTAGATCTTGGACATTGTTAACATGCTAAATACTTTATTGTACCACATGATAAGTATCAGGATGGTGATGAGGTCTTCAAGCTTAGGCTAAAATATTAGTTGTTTACGTCTTGTTTTTGTATTTTGTTTTGACGTGAAACAATGAAGCATTCGACAAGTGCTTTGCCAATAAAACATGCTTCTTGTCTCAGAAATCACTAGTTTTCTCTTGAGAAAAAGCTAGTTTGTTTAATGTTCATGCCTTGTCCTATTTACTCTGTTCATTTTCTAGAATTTAAAAGGTGTTTTGGTGTATATTAAAAAAAAAAAAAATGTTTTTGATTACAAAAAAAAAATAAAAAAAAATGCTTTTGAGCATGTTGCAATTTTGACATTCAATTCGTTTACTTCAAGCATCAATCAACCCTTAACCCTTCACGAAGCATTCTCATATATAACATGTATCGCAGTTACATGCAATAATGTTTATGAACTTGGTTGTGAACTATGGTACTATAAAAGGATCCATCAAATTAAGAAAACAAAAATGGCAACTCAGTGACGGTGAAGTACTATCTCATGGTTGAACACTTGGGGAATCCTACTTTCTTCTTCATCATCTTCCTCATCCTGGGACAGCCTTGAGAGTTGAAGAGGCTCGAAGCTATAAGATGAGGGTGCTGTCTCCATTGCAAGGTCATAACCAGGGTTGAAGCAGTTCATGTTCATAAGGTTGGCAGAAGCAGATGAATTGTTGGAATAAGCTGGCTGCATTGCTAAATTGATGTTTGGTTGTTGTTGCTGCTGCTGCTGCTGATGAGTGCTTTGAAGAGCACTTGCAAATGCAAATCTACTATTCATCAGCTGATTTTGAACCATAGCAAGCTCCCCTTGCAAACATGCCACCTAGAAATAGGTTACAAATTAAATGAGTTCATGATTGATGAATTCAATTATTAGCAAGTGTTTTTTATTTTTATTTTATTTTATTTGGATATATTCTAATTGGTTCATCGCTTTGCGACTAGTCCGATTCAAGTCGAGTACCAGGACTTTAAACCCCTCCCAAAGACGATGCTGGAGAGGATCAAACACGTGCTCTCACTCTCACTCTCACCTGATAAGTTCTCTGACACTAACTAAGCTACCATCAATTATTGTATAACAAGTATTTTTTTTTAGTTAGAGCAATATTGCTATTAGTTTGTCAACCGGTTCATTAGCAATCCGACAAATCTGGTTCAAGTATTATCATATCCATATATAGAGGGTATCTCCACTAACAACCATTTTCTTCATATTTGAACTTGACACCTTGATTAAGAGGAGCAATTATTCTTTATAAAAAATCTCCTTATCACAAAATCTCACAAACACAAATTCACATTTACTTATAAAGAAAATTATTTTAAGAAATGGTACAATCTCCTTATCAAAGAGGGCGAGCCTAAAGTAGTCATAAATGTGTTTTTTTGTGATGAAAGGTTTTGAGTTTATATCCGGAAGTAGTCTTTTTATAAAAAAAGTAAGGGTAAGATTATGTGTAAGGATTGTCCTCATCTCTACCTTCACTAATCGAAGTTTAATGGAGAGTGATTTGATACAAGTTTAATACATGGTATAATTTGTGAGAAAAGAGAAAAGTTGATGCGATACGTGGGTTGTGTTTTTCTACACAACCCACATATCGCAGAATACCTTCTATAAATGGAAAATTTTCTTCCAGAAAAATTTAATATGCTCCAGACCCACCATTTATTCAGTGGTCCCTTTTTTATAAATGGAAAATTTTCTTCCATCTCTACCCCTCTCTTTTTAATTTTCCCCCTCCATCCTTCTTTTTTCCTATTTTTGAAAAGGACCACCATGATCCAGGCCCACAGAATACCTTTTCCGATATGTGAGTTGTGTTTTTCTACACGTATGTATTTAGATTAGCTTTATAATAAAAATATAAGAACTTTTTTCTATAAAAAATAATCAAAATTTCTCCATAAATTAATCATAATCAAACAAGCATCACATGGAAGGTGTAGTTAATTTGTGAAAGTAAGGAGTGTAGCTCCAATTTTTTTTTTTTTTTTTATTAAAAAAAGTACCTTTTCATGACAACTTGTTACAGAAAATTAGATATATTTATACCTTGGTAGATGAAATAGGTACATTAAGGCCATTTTATTAAATTTTTGTTAAAAGAAAAACAAAATGTAATAACAATCAAACCTGTTGCTGCAAAGCAAGAATAGTGGACACACAACCATAAACAGGATCAGACAACCTTGCCTGAGCCTCATAAGATATAGTAACCACCGCTTCTTGGCGGCGGTTCGCCGGAATATGCAACAATAGCTTTGACACATTGCTTGCACCAAACACTTTGTGAACCGCCGCAAACCTTGCTGCACCCTGGTCAGAACCAAAGTAAGGTGCAAAGATGCATCCACTAATGCACTTTCTCCTAAGGAACTTGCAAGCCCCACATGGAGCCGCTGCTGCCTCCGTCGGTGCTGCCATGGCACGCTTTGAAGCCCTGCCTTTACACCTTGTTGTTGTTGTTGCTGAAGTGCCATGATCACCAACTTGTGGCTCAGCCATGTTGGATTAATATTTGTGATAAAATATAGAGCAAAAGTGAATAATGATGATGCATGGTGTGTTGACGCTTATATGAAAATTTGTAGGAGTGCACGTTAGTCTCGTGAGTGGGTTGGCAAGGTGAATATGGTAAGCTTTTTGTTATTTGGGAAAAGAGAGAGAGAGAGAGAGAGAGACGTTATGGTTGGTGAGAAATGTGTGAGTCAGCACATGCAAAGGCAGTGATATTTTATAGGGTATATATATGTTGGGTTTTTCACTTAAAGAAATAAATGCAAATTTCAAAAAAATTCACTTTATTTAGTTCATTGACGAAAAGTTTTATCAGATTAATGCAGGAAGACGTGTTTTAAGTAGCTACATGTTTAGTCGCGTATCTAACACATACGCGTTTCTGACAAGTCTGAACATACCAAGTGCATGTTTTTGACAAGTCTGAACACGTCAGTACCTGGTCTGCGTTTGAACACGTTTGTATCATGTGCGCGTTTTTGACAAGTCTGACTAGCACAATATCAAGATGTGTCATGTTCAGGCACGCATTTCATGGCATAATCGCGTCATAGTCAGAAACGCGCATGTGTCAGATGTGCGACTAAACACATAGCCACTTGAAACACGTCTTAATCTGGTAAAACATTTGGTCAACGAACTAAACAAGTGGATTTATTTGAAATTCACATTTCTTTAGTAAAAAACCTATGCATGTTTCTTATACAGGAGACAAAATTATCTTATATATATATGCGGAGTTTATATTTTCTTTTTTTTTTCTCTTCTCTTCACATGAATTCACAAGGAACCCATATACTTTTTATGTGTGTATAGAAAATAAAATTATCTCTTATAATATGAGAGACATTAAACCCTATTATAAAAGTACAAAAGTAGACATATATATCTTGCGCTGGTGTTGTGTTATCCTTTTCAATGTTTGCTGTTGGTCTTCTTCTATCATCGAATCTTGATGCGACTGGAGATTTGGTGCAAGTTCCTAGCTTGTTATTTCAAGGTTCCTTGCTTCTTGGATTATTCAGTAGAGCAACTCTTGGTTATGCGTATGTCTCCTTCCTTCCATGGTTTTTTATGCAGGTGGGGCTTAACCATACAAGCTTTTAACATGCTTCTTGATGGTGGAAGAGCAGTGCAGGGTATCTTCACCTTTTGGGCTTTAGATGATGAAAACTCTATACATTGCTTTTGGTGGATTACACATTTTCCTGGCATTGAAAAGGCTTGATGTATTGTCATGTTTTTGTAACTTGATTGGGACAATGTTTGACTCGAAGGAATAACATTGTTTGTCCACTTTCAAGTTTAGACTAAAAACTTATATTCCTCTCAGCTTTTATTAGTTACAATTACAGGATAAAGCAACACACATACAATGGTTATTTAGGATATTAGATTCAATCAAGGATAAAACTCTTTCTAATATATCTTCATTTCTTCTTGTCATCGTCTTCACAATCTATGGATGTATGACCAAAAACATCAAAAACATATATATGTTTATCAAACACACAAACAGATACATACATATATATATACATATATATATATATATATATGGGTTAGGATCATTTTACACCAGTGTAAGTTACACCTTTAATCTTGTCCGTTGATTCCACTTATATCTCAAGCTCTAATTTTTTATTAATGTGAGCCATTTGATACAAGTGGATCAATGGTCAAGATTGAGTGTAAGACTTTTAACTCTTAAACCGGTGTAAGAATATCCTGCCCCTATATATATATATATACACACACATATATATATACAAAGTTATATACATATATACAGACGTGTGTGTGTATATATACATATATCCTCCATTTTATCAAAAGAAACCTAAAATAGCCTGATCCCTCCAAGAGCTTGTACTAGCTATTTTATTTTTTCTGCTTTCTCCGTTTTTTTTTTTTTTTTTTTTAAATTTTGGGTGATAGCTAATTAACAAAGAGGAATGTAGATTTTATACCGATATCTAATTATTATTAAAACACTATCAAAATCAGTAACAAAATTGAAGGATGGATTTGCAATAGTAAGTTACTAACACATTTTTTCAAATCCTTATCCGAGTCTGTTGGATTTTAGCTTCCAACCATAACCATTTACTTTTTAACCTGTTAGACCATGTTATTAGACACCTAATATTAATATTTTACCAATGAAGCCTAGCTGTAAGTTAGAATTTTAAGTAGTAGAGAAAAGGAGAATACACAAACAGTACGTGAATCTTTAAGAAGAAAAGATGGAAAAATTTTCTCAATTTGGGCATCCAAGGAGGTAGTTGACCACATGGGTTTGTTGATGTGAGGAGGAAATTTAGTTGCTTAAATTTATTCATCGATCGAGCCTCATTATGGGCAAATTTAAAAGGCATTGAGAAAAAAAAATGATAAATTCATTGGACTATATAATAAATTTTTTTAAAGTGAATGGAATCAACTTTTTTACAATTTTATGGGGAAAAAGAATAAGAAGAAAAACACTGATATACCAAGTAAATTGATCGTTCCATATATAATCATGCAAGTAAATAAACAAAAGATGATACTTCCAGTCCATATATAACAATACTATACCCTTCATTATATAGTTTTTTTTTTAAGGTATAATATAATTTGATATGGAAGGGGAAGAGTTTATCTTAGATTAAATATATGCGATATCTCTGATTCTAGTTCTTGGTAGCCTTAGACCTATTATTCATGACAGCAAGGTAGTCTTTAAACGCTTCAAGTCCAAGTATGAACGACGACAACCTCTGGTTTTTGAGCTTAGACAGAGAATAAGCGTACTTGAGTTTATCGTTGGTAGCAGTGTCTGACATCATGTCGTTGTAGTCAGTATAGCCACAGTAGAAGCCATAACAGAAGGCAAAAATGTGCTTGTTCCTCTCAAGCATGTCACCGATGTATTTCAATGCATCATTCCTCGTGTGGAGTCTTGCAGCAACTTCCGAGCTCACGTATGCTGTTAGGTTCGGTGGTGGTGGGGCCATGTTGTGGTCATGTGGGAATAGCTTCACCATTTCTAACCCTTTCGACAGCAACTCATAGTTGACATCACTGCCGTAACTGTTTAAGAGTGGCTTCACCTTTGACATGAGCGTCAAGTAGTTGTTTGCAGCTTTGAGCTCGGAATCCACAACACCTCCCAACTTAAGGTACGAACTCATCGCTTACAACTGTGCTCTTCGCTTACAACTGTTCTCTTCGCTTCGAGATTCCTAATTTATAGAGCCTTCATCATCAACAGCCTACCCCGTTCCCCTTTGGAATTTGTGAAAATCACTTATTTTTGGCTCATTCTCCAAAGTATAACGTTTGTGCTCTCTTTTTTTGAGTTAAATTAAATTGATTCATATTCTGAATTACTTTAATTTATCATTTTATTACAATTTAATTATTGAAAATAATTTTATTATGTTATAGAAAAATGATTTTCTTATGTTTCTCTCGTATAAAATGAAATAAGTATAACCATTTAATTATATATATAATTAAAAGCAATTCTTATTTCCTAGGCACGAGACTAAATGCATTATAACAAAAGAGCGACATTAATTATCTATGTTACATCGAAATACGATATGACACGACACTCTGATATATTACTTCTAAAAAATAATAGCTTTTGATAACTTAGGACATTTGTTGATATTAAATATTTTAAATCTATGCAGCGTATATTATATTTAGTATTCAATAATTTAAAAAGAAAATGAAGATAAACTTATAATACTCATTAATTTTGCAAAAAAACATAAGATATTTCAAATATTTATATTAAATTCAATAAAATAATAATTACAATCCAACGAATCTAATAGTTGAAACTAAAAACGCAACACAACATTTGAATCTTTTTTTTTAGTCTCTGCAACGCGTGTTAGAGTGTCTAGGAATATCGGAGTATCGAAAAATATCAGACACAACACTTCAATTTTTTTGAAATATCAATACATCACAGGACATAACAATACATTTTATTAATATTATTTTTTAAATTATTCGGTAAAACTTGATATATGTCCGGTAAATAGAGTAAACCCAAATTATTTAATGAATTTTATATAAGATTTTATATAATTAATAACAAAAAAATATTAAATATATAAATTTAGAAAAGTGTGTTATTGAGGTCAAAGAGATATTCTGCGCATGGAAAGACCAACGGTCACAAGTGTGCAAGTGTCCCGAAAAACTCCATATTCATTCCCAATAACCAAACTATTGGCCCAAGGCTTAGGCACGGTTCCTTTTCCAACGTTTGAATGGTTTTGATAATTACAACAACTGGCAAACAATATGCCTTTGTAACTAGAAATTATACAAGGCTCCTGCAGCACTGCTCATGCCTATCCCATTCAAACTTTGACATTTTAACCTATAATAGTAGTGGGATCCATCGCACCCCTTAATTCTAATTTTACGAATGATCAAGCATAATTAAAAATAAATAAAAAATTCATGGTATAACTTGAATGAGAAACTCCACCGCTATTAAAGGCTGAACACAATCCAATATGAGGTTATAACATGTAATATGATCGTGTCTCACGTGTAAATTTTACATGTTTATATTTTTTTTCTCTTTTTATAGATATTTGCAAAAATTTAAAAGATTCTATTTATATAATATATATAAGAAAAGAAATAAATAAAAAATTAAACATTCCGATATATATATCATTGGTCAAACACTGTAATGGATCTTTTATGGGCCCAAAGTGTCTCCAACTTCTTTTTCATATATGAGACTCCAACCTTCTTTCCAAGGAATTTCACTTCAGTGCTATTCTCAATGCCTTGCGCATCCTCTGTTTTGCTATTCCCCCTGGCTAGATCACCCTCAGTTCCAACAATTCATTCAAGAAAATTGGAGTAATGATGAAGCCACAACGGAGAACCTTAGTAAGCTTAACCCTCTACTCAAAGAATGGAATACAAAGACTTTTGGTAACATCTTTTATCATAAGCAGGTATCCAAAAGAATATGGAGAATGGTATGAATCCTCATCTTGAAAAACTGGACAGGAACTTACAGAAGGAACTTGAAATAATTCTAGACCAAGAGGAGCTTCTCTAGTATCAAAAATTCAGAGCTACGTGGATTGTAGATGGAGACCAGAATAATAGGTTTTACCAAACCAAGACTACCACAAGAAGGAGGAGGAATAAAATAGCAGCCATTAAAAACGACAAGGGACTTTGGATCAGAAATGAAGATACAACCCTCAAAGTGCTACCTGCGGAGGTGTACTACGCGATGAGAAAAGGATGTGGATTACTTGCTTAACTTATAAGATTGGTAGCTCTGACCCTCTAACGGCAGGGCCTTCCTTAAAGCGTTGGAAGTGGCCTGGATGATGAAGGCAACTAATTTGGTGATTGAAAGCGACTCTGCTAATGCAATTGCCCCTGATCAACAACATGCAGACCAATAGCATTATGTGTCACTTGGTTCTGAGCATTCGAGGCTGGGATTCTAAAGAGTGGAATGTGCACTTTCAACATACTCATAGAGAGGCAAACAAATGCTCCGATTGGATGGCTGCTTTTGCTTTTAATAGGATTCTAGACTTCGAAATCTTTCCTTCTGTTCCTCAGGACCTTTTCCAATTCTATTGTTTAGTTTTTTTTTTTTTCTTTGTTTTGGGCCCTGCCCCCTATATGTACTAAAAAATAAATATATCAGCGGATATACTTTGTATCTATTACAAAAATGCAGTTAATAGTATGACAAATGCCTTTACATTAGCAACAAACACATTTTTCATTTCAACCAAAAAATAGCAAACGTATTTCTTTCACAAGTTTCATTTATCAACCAATATTTTAGCGTCACAGAGGATTTAGCCTAGGAGATCTTCTAACTGGAGAACTAACGGGGGTTGCTTTACCTTTTTTATTTTTTTTTAGCATTGCGTGACTTGTTTTGGCAATGCTTCTTCCTACCATCCTAGTCCTACTACATGTATTACCTGTATCCTCTGATATCTTTTGCCTAATACGTTGCTCCTCATTGCATTCACTTGACAAATGGCCTATTAAAGATTCTGCAGTTTCTGGATTTCCAGCTTGGCTTTCAACTGCAGCATGTGATACTCCATTTTCACCATTGCACATCATCTCAACCTGTGGCTGAGACCTGTCCTTACATTCACATTCTATAGTCTTCTTCTTGATAACACCGCATTCCATGTTATCAATTGATTCACATTGCTTAGAAACATTCCCGAAAGAATTTCCCAGTTTTTCTGGTGCCAAACAATAATTCAAATCCCCATTATCGGATAGTAAAACATCCTTCTTCTTGGTGAAATCATTATCACGAATGGAAGATAGCAAACAATCATCATCAGCACTCTTCTGTGAACAAGTATTCGAGTCACCAAACCGAGGAACCCCATCTATATATTCATCTCCAAAACCACGAACTGAATACGTTTCCCAATCGTGTGGAAATCCAACCAAGAAGTGAGAACATACCTGTTAAAAGGTATTGAATTTTAAAAAATAAAAATAAACATTGGCAAAAGTAACCTGAGGACATTAGATATTAAGTTAATTAACAGAATTTTTTTATTTTATTTTTTTAATTTCTTCACCGGTTCATCAATCGAGCAAGACCACAAGAATGCCAAAACTTTTTCTATCAAATTTTTAACAGACTTCAACTCAAAATCACAAAAGTTAAGCTGAAATAACCTCATGTCAATTAATTTACATGCTTGAATTCTAATCCTAATGAGTGATCATGTAGGTATGTGTACATATTTAAATCTTTTTTTCTTTTCGGTGGGACTTATACATTTTTGTGTCTATGGCATAACGCAATGAGTTGTATAACATAACACTAACATTTCCCTTAAATCAATCATTTGGCGCAGTGATGAGTATTAAAAGTTTTTGTGAGCTAGTGAAAAGACTATAATTAGAATGAAAGGACGTATCCTTTGATCACCGATAATCTAACTGGTATAATTTATTGGATCACAATTATTAATTAATTATTAATTTTCAATAAATTATAACGTACGATTAACTATTAAAATATGATTACAAGAAATTGTAAACGAAAATAGGTTTATAATTTCTCTTACAATGATGTGGTACTTTCTTGGTTAAGGACACCATAAAAAAACAAAAGTTGAACCATATTTCGTGAGAGAGAATCAATGATGATATGCATTGACGTGAGATATGTAATGTACCTCGGATGGAAAACCATTCTGAGATGTACGAGAGTTGTTAATGAAACCACGGAAAATAATGGTGATGCCATCTTCAGTCTCAAGAACATTGGCCTCGTGTCTCTTTGCAATCACTGTAGAAAAAAACGCCGTATCTCTCCTGCAGTGCAATAATAATCACTGCAATTAGCCAATTAACAAATTAAATTAAATTACAGACACAACCAATTAACAAATTCGAACCAATGCATATACATAATAATACCCGTTGATAGAAGCAACGCCGCCAACAGCTAAACCCTTGCGTTGCAGTTGAGGCTTCACGAGCCACCATTCATCTAAGAAAATCTACAAAAATAAGAATGAGAGAGAGAGAGGGAGAATAGTAACGTATTGTATTATTTAATCGGTTAAGTAAACGAAAGGAGAAAAGAGAAGGAAGGGCGAAATACAGATTCATATTTGACGGGCTTCGTGTTGGAGAGAGGAGTTGAATTGAAAGGAGTTCCCATTCTGATTTCGGACGACACGACGGAAAGAGCTGCGAGTTGAGGGAAATCTATATTCTATAGGGATGCAGGTCAGGTAAACGCATTATCAATTTATCATCGTTGGTTTTGGCCTTATCTACGGCTGTCGAATAAGTGATCCCTGTGACTTTCAAATGTACCGATGCTATGTAACGCCATTATAGAGTTATTTATGTACAGCAAGTTCTTTTTACCATTTTTTTTTTTTTTTTTTTGAAGGAGAGAATTGTTTTCTCCTGTCCTTTTCGACTTTCTTGTAATATTTTTATTTATTTATTTATTTATTTTAAATCTCTCTCTGCACAAAAATATCGTAATCTTTTTTTTTAAAGGGCATTACTGAAATCACTTCATAATATTTATTAGCTCTATTGTTGAGGAGATTTTACATTAAGGTGAAATATTTATATTATTATTTTTTCCTACTACCGCTCAATGTATTCAAAAAAAAAAAAAATTTACTTATATTTATGGGGAAGGATATTGTGACAACCAAGTTGTGTTACCAAGTGACTACCAATCAATCTTACCGTTAGATCGATTATATTGATCCAACTGTTATATTTATTTTTATTTTTGTATGGTCATGATTCCTCATATTTAATATTTTATATTTATTTTCACTTTTGTATGGTTATGATTTCCCATATTCAATGCTTTTACTTTAAATATGGAGAATCATGACCATACAAAGATGGAAATAAATATAACCGTTGGATCAACATAATCGATCTAACGGTGAGATTGATTGGTAGTCACTTGGTAGTAACACAACTTGGTTATCACAATATCCTTTCCCTATATTTATATATATATATATATATATATATATATATATATATATATGGAAAAAATATTTCTACAGCCACTTGGTTGATAAGCTTTTCTCTGCCTAAGTAAAATTACGTTATTTTGGTTTAAAAATTAAAAAAAAAAAAAAAAAACTTTGTTTTCTAAGATTGAATGTCTTCAACAACAGTTCTATTCTCAAACTCGTCTAGCAGAGAGCTTCTACTTCTTTGCCACTTGTGTTCAACAACAGAGAGCTTTCTTTTCTAAGATTGAACGTCATCAACAACAGAACAGCAACTATCGGATTCCCAAACTCGTCGAGCAGAGAGATTCTTCTCCTGTGTTCTCCTTCATCGCCGGTAATCGTTCCCCTCTTCCTTGTTGGGCGTTTATTGCTCCCTCCACCATTTTCTGGTGCGCTCGTGCTCCACCACCAGTAGGTAGAAATTTTTTGATCCCATTCTGTTACAGTTCGTCAGTAGTTGTGTATGATGCAAACGTTCTTTGCTTAAATTAAAAAAATTCTGTTGTGGGGAAAATCAAAGAATTTCTTAATCTAAAACTTGAATTGTCACATGAGAGCAAAAGTTTTTATTTTTTATTTTTTTTGGGGGGTTGATAAAAAAAAAAAAAAGAGTGACTTACCCTTGATGCAAAGGTCAATAGGACAAAAGGCATAGATTTAGCCTTAGGGACGTGCCCTTTCCCTGTAGTGTTATTAATTGAGGGTGGGAGGTTATGGTCTGAACTCTATACCACATGAGCAAAATATATATATATATATATATATATATATATATATATATATATATATTTGGGTACAATTTGGGGAAACATGCTTGTACCATAATTAATAACTCATCCACTTAAAAGCTCAAGTATTATGAGTTTATTACCAAAGAATGGGTTTAACTTGCACGGAAATATTCAACATGAACTTATACTATTTAATATTTATTTATTTAAAATGGAACCAAGTTTATGTGGACCCTGTCTATCTCCTTCCTTGTCCTTTTTTCAAACAAAAAAGAAAAATATTTGTATGCGTAGAAACAACCCTCGGAGCAATGATTAATTGATAAAAACAAATGTTTTATAAGGAAGATCCCATGTTTGTTGTGGATTAAAACAATGTATTGTTTAAGTTACCAATGTTGTATAGAAAATAGGATTCTTTGCACATTAGGTGAGTTGAGGTCAAAGCTGCACATGATAATCTTAAATAGGATCAGGATCACTCTTCGCCCCAAAAATGTATTCACTTTCTATGCAATAAGTTACATGCAAAGTTATTAAACTATAAAAATTTGATGTATATTGTTAAAATTTTATCAAAAAATTAATGATTTTAGAAAAATTATTTTATATATGCAGGTTTTAATCTAAACTTATACAAGGGAACTCATGGAAAAGTGTGAAAATCTCGCCAAAAGTGTTGTGGAAACACAATTTCCAGGATCATCTACTGTTTCGGTTGCACATTTTGATAGTCAGGTAAATGATTAACTATTATTTGAATTCATTGTCCATGACATGCAATATGCCTATGTTGGAGTATAGGACTAACTATTGTTCAAATTTTTTCATATATTCAAGGCGGATCACTCACAAATAACAACTATTGAAGATATTGACATGAGTGAGAGTTTAATATATTATGATGAGGTTGTTGATTTGGAGAAAAACAATCATGATTTTGGAGAATATGATCAGTGTGAAACTATGGAAGACGAAGATGGTGATTGTAGGGAAGATAACGTGCATGGAATTGTGGGAGCTGATGATATTAGCTTCACGGATACCCCTATTTTGGGTAGAGTCTTTAAGACAACAGAAGAAGCTTATGACTTTTATAATGATTATGTAGAAAGTAAAGGATTTGGAATACGTAAGCATTGGTGTAACAGGAATATAAAAACACAACATCCATATAGGTGGAATTATGCATGCTCAAAGCAAGGTGTGAAACGACTTCATGATAAAAGAGTTGATGTTGACAATGTGAAAAGGTGAAGGGAAACAAGGACTGATTGTTCAGCGATGTTACAAATAAAGTTGGTTGACGGATCATGGGTTGTGGAAAAATTCAATGATACACACAACTATCCATTGATTAACACTCCTACAAAGGTGGAGCACGAGTGCATCAGAATATGGTGGAGGGAGCAATGAACAGCTGAACGCCCAACAAGGAAGAGGGGAACGACTACCGGCGATGAAGGAGAGCACAGGTAGCAAACGAGAAGAAGCTCTCTGCTCGACGAGTTTGGGAATCCGATAGTTGTTGTTCTGTTGTTCAAGATGTTCAATCTTAGAAAAGAAAGCTATCTGTTGTTGAACACAGATAGCAAAGGAGAAGAAGCTCTCTGCTAGACGAGTTTGGGAATCATACTGTTGTTGAAGATGTTCAATCCTAGAAAACAAAGTATTTTATTTTTTATTTTTTAAACCAAAACGACGTAGTTTTACTTAGCCAGAGATAAGCTTATCTACAGTGGTTGTAGAAATGTTTTTCCATATATATATATATATATATATATATATATAAACTATCTTTTAGTCATGTGGCTCTATAATTAATCATGAATTCATGATGATATTTAAGATAATTTGGTCTCTTATTAAATTAACAGATATTCAAATATTTGACGTTGGTATCTGGAAGCATATTTAATGAGATATTGATCTTAATTAAGATAATTGTTAAAATCATTTTTTAAAAAGGTATGGTGTTTCTAGCCGTAACATTTTCCTTACTTAAATCGCATAAAATAAACAATAACATAAATTTGGCTAGATTAAACTAATTATTTTCTACTCTGACCTTCCCCTCAAATCTAGTATTGTTGATTAATTTTCCTTGGTTGTTTGACTTGTGCTGCTATGACACTCGCATTCTCAGCCCAAAAACTTAACTGCGTGTTTTTTTTAAATAATAAAAAATAACCTTAACTTACATGAAAGAGTGATCAAAATGTCATTGTTCACTAAATTTTTTACTCAAATGCCACGCGAACAGTATTATTTTCCAATATGTCACGTGGGCAAATTCGTTGGGCACCGTAGCAAACTCAGTTTGTTGAAGTGTCACGTTTCTGGTGGACACCAAGTTCACTACCTGGGGTAGCGCACTTGGTTGCAATGTGTATCACGATTCCCAATATTTAATGAGTGTCACGTTTCTGGTGAAACACATTGCAACCAAGTTCGCTACCCCAGGTAGCGAACTTAGTGTCCACCAAAAACATGACACCTCAACAAATTGAATTCGCTACAATATCCAGCGAACTTTTCCACGTGACATATTGAAAAATAATACTATTCACGTAACATTTGAATAAAAAACTTGGTGAACAGTGACATTTTGATAGCTCACATACTCCAAGCTATGGACAATACAGTTCTTCATTAGAAGCTCAGCAGTTTTTGTAATTTTGTGCAGACGAATTACAACATGAAGAACTTTGAACTTACACTATTCTGATGCTGCAAACTATAAAGCTCACATACTGCAGCCATTAATCTTTTAGGCTTATAGTGAAAAATACAAAAAAAATATATAAATAAAAATGAAAACTTCTGGATTGATACTAAAGGAAGGCAAGTCTTTGAGGTGAGGCTGGTGGTGACCCCTCACTACTGTGAGAATTACTAAATGAATCCCCTCTCCATGCATCTTGTACTTGAGCAGCAAATTGCAAATTCCACAACACATCCTCTATAGAAGGCCTATCTGCTGGCTCTTTAACCAGGCACCTCACGCAAATCTCCATCATTGTCTTCAATGATTGATCCAAGCATGTCTTCCGAACTTCAACATCAACAATTCTCCTCCTAGCCTCATCATCAGCTACTATGCTTGCTTGCAACTGAATCATCATACAATTAACAGCAGGATCATAAAATTGCAAATGACTTTTATTGACATGCTATGGAGAATGAAAACTACCATTATCTTGTAATATGATCATTTAGGCATTTAGTTTGATACCCCATAAGGTGTGGCCGACCCAGAATTTTTTATGATAGGAGATAAAAACACAATATTGAAGTTACAAATATTATTAGGACTAATAGAAGAGGCTAACTATTACAAATATTTTCGAGGGAGGGATTCACTATTAGGATTAATAATATATTATTATTACAAAAGTAATATTTTACACCCATAATAATAAAAAATCAAAGTTTAGGGCGAGACGACCGCCATCTAGTGCCCTTTCCTTCGGTCGGCCTATGCATAAGTATGTCAATGTGTGTCTGAAAACTGCTTATTCCAAAAGCCTTATCCATTCATATTTCTATCTTATCTTTTCCTGCTTCTTGTGTGTGGAAAAGATTTTAGCATTTAGATAAAGTGATTATATTTTCTTATGCAACATGAGATAAGATATCTCATGTTACACTCACAAACTTAGGTGGGTCCCATTGCATAGAAAAAAGAGAAAAAGAATTTGAAGTGGGTCCCACGTCTTTTTGAGTGGGTAGGAGAGACTTATTGTCTCCTATCACACGAGACTAATATTTCCCTCAAATAAATTAAAACCAAAGGTTATGCAATATGCATATGATTTGTTAATCAGAGCCGGTTAATGGAGAGAAAATCTACTAGTTTCTATAATCTACTACTTGTATGATCATAGCTAGCAGAAAATGAGAATATAGTTTCTATTATAATTAGTCAAATTAAATGTGCAACTGGATCTTCGGTGTTTAAGTATAAGAATAAGACCATTATCTGGACATTGGTGGCCTTTCGGGTTGATAACAGATTTAACAGTTTATATGGACTCTTATTTTCTAGTGAATCAGTGATGAGAGAGTTACACTCTGATTTAAGCATCAGATATATCCTAGTTAGGTCATAAGGAAATTCTCTATTAATGATTAATCAATTTGAAAGATTTAAAGAAAACAATGGAAAAGTAGATGGCACATGGGAATTGAATGAGAGTCTCTGTTATTACCAGATCCTTAAAAGCGTCTGCATCATTCGTTGACTTTATTGCCCTTCCTAGAATGAGTTCCAGCAGTATTACTCCAAAGTCGTACATATCAGACTTATCTTCATGTTTTACCCTACAAAACAGATGATTTCATTAAAAAACAAGCTTACATATGTAAGTATATCAATTACTAAGATTGAGTGTAAAACTCTTTATTGTTACACCGATATAAGTTAATCCTGCCAATATGTATATATATAGAGACACACTCCCATTCATATCATATGGTATGTGTAAAATTACAATATGATGAGTCCTATTTTTCATTAATAGAGGTTGTGTGCATGTTATACAACCTGATTAAATTTTTATCGCGCACCTTATATTAATGCTAGAATTTTTTAATCCATTGGAAGAACTTCCATGCCGAACCTGCAAGGATAAGCCAAGGTGATCAGTACCAACTCAAGACTTGTTTTGAAGGAAATTAAAAAAAAAAAGCAAAGTTACGATTTTTACCTCATTAAAAAAAGAGTAAATACCCTTTTCGATCCTCAGCAAATTTTACGCAAATAGAAAGGTTATTCGTGGTCCCTAAGAAATTCAAAGTGAACTCATTTTAGTTCTTTTGAGGGACTAATGTGAGTCTTTTTTGAATTTGTGAGAGATCACAATTTCAATTAAATTGATCCATTTTGAATTTCTTAAAGACCACGAATAGCCTTTTTATTTGTTAGGGACTAAAACGGGTATCATGAAATTTGTTGAGAACAAAAAAAAATATTTACTCTTAAAAAAAAAGTTCATAATTATTTTCTTCGTACCTTTCCCATGTTAGATAACAAAGGCAGGTTATAACTGCTGATTTTTGCAACAAGATTCTGATCCAACAAAACATCTTCTATCTTAAGATCGTTGGAATATACACCAGGGACAATCCCTGTATGCAAAAATTGGATTCCCTTTGCTACTTCAATTGCAGCTCCTATGCGTTGGGTCCAACTCAGTGATTTTCTAGCATGCCCATCTGTCGAAAAATACGTGTAATCAGCAGTTAGAAATTAACTTTTCCTATCCTTTCTATTTCTTGTTGAATAATACCATTTTTACAACCTCCAAACTCAGAAAGGAGTTGGTGTTTTTAATGAATTACCAGAAATCCAGCTCCTGAGTGTTCCATTTGACACGTATTCGAAGACAAGAAATATTCTGCTGACACTTGAATCATCTAAAGAACATTCAAAGCAATGTCCAAGAGCGCTGACTAAATGACGATGCCTAAGTTTTGATATCAGCTCTATGTGATGCATAAAATTTTGTGTGCTATATCTTCTTTTCATTTTTACACATCTAATAAGAACAAACGTGCCATTCTTCAGTTGACCTCTGTACATCTGAGACAAATAAGAACACATTATTTTAAAATGAAACACTCATCATATATTCCTCTATATATATAACAAAATAATTTGAGACAACGTGACATACCTGCCCATAAGAATCTTCACCCACTAAAGAAGCTGTGTCAAAGTTGTTTGTAGCTGCCTGAATATCTTCCAATGAGAAACTTCGATAAGTTGGCAAGCCAACCGCTCCAAACTTCTTTGTTTGAGATATATACCCTTTAAGTATAGGGAAAAGAAATGTTTGTCAATCCATCTTTATTAAGGAAGTATATAGACAAATGTATGAATGACTTATGATTCTTCCATATCATCTTCTTCTCCAAGAAATTATTACCAATCATTTGGTGGGCTTCTTTGATAAAGAAAGAGTATGATAACTTATTCAGCTGCAAGTAAACATCTCGTTTCTTTTTATCAAATTCAAACAAGTGTGAAGTCCTAGTATCTGTAGTTTACATGTAGGCAACGTTTTCTATTCAGCTATATCTGGATCTGTATGAGATTCCTATATCCAACAAATGAATATATTTTAGCAATAAAGAAATTGGTGAATATTTCCTAGGTTCAAATTAGTTTCTCCTCATCATACTTATTTTTTCCGACATATGTTAATAGTAGAATTCCGATATATGAAACCATCATTTATCAATCAAAAGCAACAGTAAGCTATAGAGAGAGGGTGCAAACTTATAATTCCAAGAAGGTAAGAACCAACAAAACTAAAGAATCTAAATAAGATTACCAATTTTCCTCCAAATAACATAGTTTAAGCATGTATAAAGGTAACTCCAATATTTTTCTTGTTTTAGTGATAATGTAAATGCAGTATTTAATTTTTCTTTGGCTACACAAAAATCCTATGCTTAATAGTGATGGTAATGGATACACATTAGACTTGCATAAGTCTTAACAATTTTTTAAGTATTCTGCATGTGGATGGAGAAATGCATAAAAATGTAAAAGGTAGTTAGATCATGCACACACCCATGTGTGCCCGTGTGCATATTGTGTGTGTGTGTGTGTGTGAGAGAGAGAGAGAGAGAGAGAGAGTTACTTGCATCAGAAAGCAACTTAGAGGTATATCCAGAAGCTGCATTCTCTGATATTAATCTTGTTGGAGGATTCTTCATTTTGCTTTTGGCATTTCCTCTTCTAACAATAAAGAAAATCAGCAAAACAAGTGCTACTCCTCCAAGAGCTCCACCTACTATGCCAAGGGAAAGAACTACCTTAGATACTTGTTTGTGCTTCTTTCTGTCAGGTAATATTCCCACAGCTAAGGCTTCGTTGTGGCAAAAGGGAGGAGGGTTCTGATTTTGATTCGCTTTCTCTAGACAATTTCTAGCATACAGGACAATCCTATCACTGGAATTTGACAGTAAACATCTAGGTAAGCTCCCAGTCAAAAGGTTTGAGGATAAATCAACAACATCAAGCTCGGAATTGCAAGACAGATTCTCAAAAAGCATCCCAGTTAATTTGTTCCCAGAAATGTTCATATAAGAAATAGAAGGAAGTGATAACAATGCTGGCTGAAATGGCCCCACAAATGTATTTGATGAGATATCCAATCTCTCAAGCTGATAATATGAGCTCAATTCAGCAGGAATACCAGACCTGAACCTATTATTTCTTAGCACAAGAGCAACCAACTTTTTACCAAGCCGCGGAAACTGAGGTCCAAAAGCATTATCATCCAATTCCAGCACTTGAAGATTTGTCAAACGGCTCAAATCAGGTACTACCCCATAAAAGTGATTATGGGAAAGTGAAAGAATTCTCAAATTCTCCAAGTTACCGAGCGAATTTGGTAGAGAACCATTCAACAAATTGTTTTTCAAACTCAACACAGTTAAGGCTGGAAGTGTATCAAGCCAATCAGGAAGCTTGCCAGCAAACATGTTGTTGTCAAGAATGAGTGTTTGGAGATTTGACAGTGATGAAAGTTCTGGAGGAATGGAACCATATAGAGAATTCGAACTCACATTAACTATTTCCAGTGATGACAGACGACCAATCTTACTAGGCAAAGGACCCCATATACCAAGAGAAACGAGTGTGAGTACTTTCAAACTGGGAAGCCTTACCAGTGTTGTGACTAAGGAATCTATTGAGAAATTTCCAGGGAGAAGTGGAGCTCTTCTTTCACCTATTATGTGCAGTTGAGTTATGGTGTCTTCATAGCATTCTACAGTGAGAGAAGAGTTTGAATCTGTGCTGCAAAAGTCTGTGCTGTTATTCCAATTTCTTAATGCTGCAGGAAAGTTCAATAACTGCTGAATTCTCAGAAGGGTCTGAGATTGGGAAGATTGAAGTTGCTCCGAACGATAGATAGAAAGTAAAATAGTAACCAACACCAGAAACACTAAGGGATGGCATCTATTTGCCATTAGCACTAAGGCATGCAATGAACAAGAGAGTTTTGGTTAGATTCTCAAAAAGTTCTTGAATATTATTAAGGTTCTCTCAAAACTGAAGCTTGGGAGCACAAGCAGAAGCCCTGCAATTACATAAAGGCATGTTAATTTAAACAGACATAAAAATAGTGCAAGAATATACTGCATTAAAATAATCAAACATTATTATCCATAGAGTGAATTAACTCAAAATTTGGAGCCAAATTCTTCAAGGTTGAAGATGCCTCAGAGAAATTAAATATTTCACAGAAAATAAAAAATAAGGTATATTTAGTCATAACTCAACTTCATGAAAACTAAGAAGCTTCCCCGACAGATTGAATAAACAAATCAGTGAGTGCTATGAGTAGAGCAGTGTTTATCTTTCTGCTTCCACCAGAACCAAACAAATCTAATGACTTTAGTTGCAGATATTAATCAGTTGCTCCCAAAAACCACCAAAAACTCCCAAAGAGTCCTCCACAAATCACACAAATCCAAGCCAGATTGTAAAAACTGAAAGTCTTTTCATTACATATAGTTCTTGCGCCAATTTCAAAATCTGAAGAACAAACATTTAAACCAAAAACTTTAAAAAGAAAAAACAAATAAAAAAGGAAAGGGGGGGAGGGAGAGAGAGAGAAAAGAACAAAATTCAAATACAAAAAAAAATGGGAAGAAAACAAAAACTTACATGCTTTGAGAACTTGCAAAGTTCACCCAAATGAACAAAATCCAAAAAAATTTCAACCATACATTCAGAAACTCGTCAATAGTAAGTCTCCAAATCCTAGTGAAGCATAGAAACGATTTTCCAAGGTGTCAGCTTTTCTCTTCCCACTCCAAGACAAGGTGGTGATAATGGTTGAAAATGAAATGACCAAAACTCAAACACTTGGCTCTATCACAAACTGACATTTCATCATTCTCAGTCATAAATGAATCCACAAATATTTTTTCCTCCATTTTTGTTTTGTTTCCAAGAAAATGTTTTTACTTCTTTGTCTAGAAGGCCTAAAGGGAACCCATAATTTCACAAGCAAAAGCAAAAAAGAAAGATTCTTGCAGAGAAGGGGGACCCTTTATTCTTCACTATGATATGATTCTAAACCTCAGCATGTGATTTGGTTGAAGGATCAAGTTTTGTACTTTTCTTATAATTATTATTTGTGAGTGTAAAATTTGCTTAAGGGTAGCTTTGGCTGAGAGTTTAGTAACGTAAGCTTTCACTTTCAGGATCTGATAAGCCTTTGCTTTCTCTCACTTCAACTTTTTAGCATGGTCCCTCATATCAGTTGTTGCTTTTGGCGCTTCTCTCTCTCTCTCTCTCTCTCTCTCTCTCTCTCTCTCTCTGTACTGTGTACATACCAACTATGGTTGCTCTTTCATTTCTGTGTCAATGGTAGGATCAATGAACCATTGAAGGAATAGTTCTCGTAAGTTGTAACAATGTTGCTTCGTTTGTGCTCTGTCTCATCAGAAAAGTTGAGAAATCTACATCAGAGAACAAAGCAAGCTCTAGAAGGAAAAGGAACCAGACACAAATGATTTTATATTAGATATTCTAAATCAAATGCTACCTAAAATATGTGATGGTTATGTTATTCTCTCATAGTTTTTAGAGTTAAGAATATTTTATACAAAATATGATAGCTTTTTTTGGTACTAAGAAAAAGGATAGCTTTGGTTGTACCTACTGAAAAATTTCATTTTATATGTTTGCAAGATAAAAAGGCAGAGTTAATTATAATTAAAAAGGATTAGAATTTCCTACATTATAAGAGATAAAATCATTTTATATATATATATATAAAAATGGCTTTATTAATCTTATGCAATAGGAGAGAACTCTCTCCTGCAATAGAGATAATTATGCGTGGGACCCACCAACTATAGAAAAAAATAAAAATAAAAAAGTAACACAGAAATCCATGTATGTGTAGGAGAAAAAAATTCTCTCCTACAACATAAGAGTGTATTTTCTCATATAAAAATGTCAATTTTCTTATAGGGTTACCTGAGAAGAGAGAGGGAAAAAAAACTAGTTTTCTACAGTTTTATGTTTTATAACATTAGAAACTTTAAACCCATTAAAAAAAATAAAGACTTTATTTTTCTAAAAACACGTTTAAATAATAAGTTATGGTTTTATAAGAATTTATTCTCTCTTTTTTCCCCTCATTCAAAGATATAAATTTGTTTTCCAAAAAAAAAAAAATATAAGTTGGTGAGCAAAATAAAAGTATTTTAAATTTGGTTTCCAAAAATAAGAATATTTTAAAGAAACAATAATATTTATAAAAAAATGAAAATAAAATTTTGGAAATTTCGACAATTTAGGGGTCCCTCAAGGCCTACATGTTTCTGCCTAATTAAGTGCCGATAGACTTCCTTGACACTTTTTTTCTTGGTGAAATCATGAAATATAAAATTCTTTTAATTTTAAATTCGTCTACTTTCCAATGAGATTATTAATATGAAAAACGGGAGAATTTGTTTCACTCATAAATTCAGCCCATTTTAACGAATAACTTTTAGTATATCAGATGTATTGAATTTAATGTATTTGTTTATTTATTTTGTGATATATGAATAAAAAATATTATATCATTTAATTTTTTTAAATAATATAATATTTTTTATCCACATATCACAAAATAATTGGATAAATCTACTAAATCTTTGATACATATAATGCACTAAACATGTATTCCACTTTAACATTTTAGATAATCTTACGTATTTTTATTTTGGTGCCCTTCACTCAATCATCCGATGCTACAAATAGCAGCATTTATTATATGTACCAGTCAGATCGTATCAATGTAGCGGCATTGATGATGTAGTCAGATCGTTGCATAATGTCATGCCAACTCATTCTATAATTAATTCGGTAAATATATATATATATATATATATATATATATATATATATATATATATATATATGCGCCGTATCTTCTTACTTCGGTACAAGAATAATAAATTATACATTTAATTTTAACGGTTGATTTTCATATATTTAATCATTATAATTTATTAATAATTAATTAATAAAAATAATTTAATTGATTGCAATTATTTGATGGACAAAAATCAATGACTAAGATTGAATGTAAAATTAATTACTCTTATACTAATGTAAGAAGATCCTATTTATATATATATATATATATATATATATATATATATATATGTGTGTGTGTCTCTCTCTAATAAGTTACTTTACTTTTTTTTTTGCTTACCTTACATATCCATCTTCATTACCACTAGATTAGAATCTCAAGAGGAGAGAGAAAGAGTGAGATTTTGATCTAATGATATTGAAGAATAGAAAATAAAATAGACAATTAAAAATAGTAAGTAGAATATCTTATATATATATATATATATATATATATATATATAGGTAAACATTTCTAATGTCACTTTATATAAAGTTATCTACAGCTACCCTTTATAACTATGTATTCCAAGAAGTACATAGTTATAAAATTAAAGTTAATTTTTTTTTCTCTCTTCAGTCACTTTTCAGAACTTTAATGTTATAATTATGTACTTCCTGGAGTACATAATTATAAAAGGATAGTTATAGATAATCTTATCTAAAGTGACTATAGAAATATTTTTTTCATATATATATATGGAGCGAGAGAGAGAGAGAAATATTTCTCAAACATCTTGAGATATATTTATTTCTATCTATCCAAAAACTACATCGTTTTGTTTATGTATTTTTTTATATTAATTGATTCACCTTCGAATGGTTATGATTTTTCTCTCTCTTTTTTTATCACCATTGATCTATCTTTGTACGTTTATGATTTAGTAGCCAGAGATAAAATTATCTCAAGCAACTTGAGAAACGATAAGCTCATATATATATATATATATATATATATATAGGAAGAGTTATATTTATAAACTTTTTGTTTACAAGCTACACTATATACTCCTAGGAGTAGACTCAGTTAGAAATGTACTCCCCGGGAGTATATAGTGTAATTTGTAAAGTTTATAAAGCAAAAATTTATAAATATAATCTATCCCTATATATATAACTCTTTCGAGAGAATTTGTAAAAAGGTTTAAAGTTTATAAAGTTATTTTAAATAACTTTATCTAATGTTCACCAAAATACACATATAAAAGTGTGTGAAGTCCATGTTTTCTTTTTCTCTCTGTTCTCTCTCATGGGTCCACATGGACCCCACACACTTTTTTTTTTGTGTATTTTGATGAATATTATATAAAGTTATCTAAAGTAACTTTATAAACTTTAAACTCAAAAAACAATTATTTTTAAAAAAAATTAATACCAAACATACTCTTAATGCCCTCTATTATTTTTCTTGTATAAGAGTTGTGTTCCGAGCTAGCTTTCACAGCCCAATACATATTGGCTACAAAGATTCATTAAGGGATCACACTTTGGCCGAATATTATAAAAATCGGATCGACCCGGCCAGGCCGACCCAAAAACCAATGAACCGGTCATATAACCCGTCTGTTTTTTATATTGGACCGACCATGTAATAGAACCGATGGGACCCAGCCGATTTTTGTAAAAACCGATGACCAGTCGATTCAATCGGTGACCCGATCCGATTCATAAAAAAAAATAGTTTGTTCTCATCAATTGATGCATTTTTTTTCACTCTCCCACACAAATGATTTGTTTTCTTTTGAAATATTTGAGTGATCTGTTGCTTATTGAGTTACATAGGTTATGTACCTACAATACTAATTATTATATTGGTTATGTATATGCCGTGGATTTTGATTTAATTTATAATTAGAGATGTCGTCTACTAAACCTGAAGTACCAGTATCACAAGTATTATATGTTTGATTGATCTTTTGTTCAACAATAATATGTAATTTATTGTTTTTCATATTAAAATATTTGGAATTGATATCATTTTTTATAGGTATTTGAGTACATTTATAATTTTTTTAATATAAATTATAGATTTACATATACTTACCGGGTCATGCAATTGATTCAGTGATTCACTACAGGCCGGATTTAATAACATTGCTTATGCCTCTCCATAGTGAGCACATAGGCCTCACCTCTTAGAGGATCTCTTACTCTCATGCATAGTTCACCCATGGTACATGATAATAGAGCAATTCCTCACATATAATAGTGAGGAGTGAGCAAAAACGAGTAAGCTCCTTTTCTCTCTCATGGCATTAGAGGGGGCGTTTGGTTGAGGAGAAATTTTATGAATAATAGGGAAATGTTATTGATAGGGAAATGGGAAGGAAATGAGTTTGATAGGAAAATGTAAAAAACGTTATTTGGTAGGAAAAAATTTTACTGGGAAAATTAAGTAACTTTTATGAAATCTATGTTTGGTTGTAGGTAAAATATAGATGGGAAAAAAAAGTAAACTTTACAAAAATAACCCTGTTTTAAACGTTGAGAAAGATAAATGAATGGTTCAAGTATTGAACCACCTCCTCTTCCCACAGTCCCTCCTCTGCCATGGAACATTGTAAGCTTAATACCGAACTCCTTCGCAACCTTTATGAGCTCTTCTTCAGCCTTGTACAATGCCCAAGAAGCAGAGAGCCGGCCAACATCTTTTCCTGAGTCTGCGTATCCTATCTTAACTTCTTGTTTTCCATTGATACGGTTTCTGTACCAATCTATAGAGAATAGACGGGCTACCGCAACAGGAGCAGCTTCAAGATCAGCGAGCTTTTCAAACAATGGGACAACCCTTATTTAATGGCTGCTTGACATGACATTCACGTTGTAACAGTTCTACAGCAAGCACATCAGATGGAGGGCACACTCGTCATTATA